TATTTATTTGTATTCGTTCTGTTTTCCCAATGTGGGAACTCAGTGCAATAAATTTTCCTCTGAGGACAGCTTTCATTGAATCCCACAGATTCTGGTAAGTTGTATTTTCATTTGCTTGTAGACATTGTTTAATTTCTTTAATTTCCCCTGTGACCCACTGATTACTCAAGAGTGTGTTATTCAGTTTCCATGTGTTTGTGGGAATTTTGCAGTATTTTTTATCATTAATTTCTAGTTTCATGGTGCTATGATCCGATAACATGCATGGGATAATTTCAACTCTTCTGCATTTATTTAAATATGTTCTGTGGGCTAGTATATGGTCTATTTTAGAGAATGTCCCATGTACTGCTGAGAAGAATGTGTATTCTCATGTTGTTGGATAGAACACTCTGTATATATCTATCAAGTCCATTTGTTCACAGGTATGATTCAGTTCTGTTATTTTTTTATTTTGTCTGGTTGGTCTGTCTCTTGGTGTCAATGGTGTGTTAAGGTCACCTGTTATAATTGTGTTACTGATAATTTGGTTTTTCATTTCTATTAATACTTGCTTTATATAACTGAGTGCTCTAGAATTTGGTGCATATACATTTAAGATTGTTAAATCTTCCTCTTGAAGTTTTCCCCTAACCAGTATGTAATGACCTTCTTTATCCCTTCTGATCATTCTTGGTTTGAAGTTCACATTGTCTACAAACAGAATAGCTGCCCCTGCTTTTTGGGGGGTTTCTTGTTGCATGAAGTATTGTTTTCCATCCTTTGACTTTCAGTCTGTGAGTATCCTTTTGGGTTAGATGGATTTCTTGTAAACAGCATATGGTTGGATGTTGTTTCTTGATCCATTCTGCCAGTCTGTTACATTTAATTGGTGAATTAATACCATTTACATTAATGGTTATAATTGTTATATATTGGTTTATTGTTAACATGTTATCTTTCTGCTGTTGCATCTTTATCTTTCTGTTCTGTTTAATTATCTTCTTTGCTTAGTGGTTTTTTCCTAAGTGTATCTAAACTGTCTTTCAATATTTTTTGCAGGGTTGGCATGGTGATCATGAAGTTCTTCAGCTGTTCTTTGTCATGGAAGCATCTTATTTCTCCATCAATTTTGAAGGACAGTTTTACAGAGTACATCGGTCTATGTTGGAAATCATTTTCCTTTAGGGTCTGAAATACTTCACTCCATGCTCTTCTTGACTTATTGTTTGTGCTGAAAAGTCTGCTATGATTCTGATTGGTTTTCCTTTATAGGTGATCTGTCTTTTCTCTCTGACAGCTTTTAATATTCTATTCTTATGTTGGATTTCTGGGATGGTGATTATTATATGTCTGGGTGTAGTTTTAATTTGGTTGTGGCTATTTGGAATTCTACATGCTTCACTGATCCTGATGTCAGTTTCCATTCTCATGTTTGGGAAATTTTCAGCTATTACTTCTCTAAATATCCTCTTGACATCCTTTATGTTGCCCCTTCTTTTTTATTTATCCCTATCAACCTTATGTTGTTTTTCTTTGCATCATCTTGCAGCTGTTGAATTGTTATTTCCTGATTCCTTGTGTTTTTTGTTTGTTTGTTTGTTTGTTTTGTTTTGTTGTCTTTTTCCTTTTTATCGGTACTGGGGATCGAACTCACAACTGCCTGCTTGCAAGGCAGGCGCTTATGCCGCTGAGCTAAACCTCCAGCCCCAATTCCTTGTTATTTTTAAAACATCTTTCCTTTCCTGTTCACTAGCCGCAATCTTGTCTTCGAGGTCTGAAATTCTAACTTCACTTTCATTCAGGTGGTTTTTAGAACTTTCAATGGAATTTTTGATTTCCTATATATCTCTTTGCATCTGCTTCATGTATTCAGTTTGTTTCTTATATTGTTCACCCAGGGATTCTATCTTTTTGTTCAGTTCCTCCCATTTTTTAACTGTGTCTTCTTTAGCTATGTTCAGTATCTCTTTCATTTCTTTTATCACTTCTTCTTTTACCTGGGAGATTATTTCTAATTTGAATTCCTTTAAAGCTTCCTGCAGTTGCTTCTTTATTTCAGTTGCTATTACTTCAGATATTTCTGGAGTATGGCATATGTTTTCTTCTATGTACATAGCTCCTAAGGTTTCTTGGGATGGGCTGGAGGCTTGAGATTGTATTTTGGTCTTTCGTTTTGTTATCTTCTTAAATTTCTGTGTTTCAAGTATTATTCCAAGGCTTCCCCTGGGCATGTTGGAAGTCCTCTTCTATGCTCTCAGCTCCTGGGAGTCTGGCCACCCAGTTCCCCAGATTGAGAGAGGGTCACTGGTAGTGGGGCAGGCAGTCCCAAGCCCTGCTGAGCTGCTTCAGTGTGGCAGGAAGCCATGAAATTCCCTGGCTGGCTTCCCTGGCTGGCAGGAGCAATGATCTTAAACTCCCTCCCGGGGCTCGGGATGATGCAGGGACACTCACACCAGGCCATCCAGTCTCCAGGAGGACTTATGTTATTATCTATGTGATCAGTCTTACTAAATGTTCCATGTGGACTAAATAACATATAAGTAGTTATTGGCTTGAATGTTCTATAAATACCAATTAGATCAAGTTGATTAATTATGCTGTTCAACAGCTCTACTCCTTACTGATGTCATACTATGTGATCCATTGGTCAAGAGAGAGCCTAGGTCAATAACACTATCTTGTATATCTGAGAAGCCCTGGGACAAAAAGTAAAGGCTTTAAGGATGGGTCCAAGGGTTCTATGAGCTTTAAACTACTATATTTGTACTCATATGTATATACAGAGACTATACAAAGTGGAGTTAGAACTGTTTTACCCACTGTGAGCTAGACTGGCCAAGTCTGAACTTGTCACTGAATTTCCATAAAATCTGATATAAATCTGGCATGACAGTATATACCGGCAGCCCCAGCTACTTCTGTAAGGAGGCTAATGTGGGAGGATTGGGCCCTGAAGTTCAAAACTAACCTGAGCAATATAGCAAGAGCTTTGGCTAAAACAAATCTCAACACACACACACACATGTGCGCGCGCGCGCACACACGCGCGCGCACAAACACTTTACTCTAACCAGTGGACCACAGTGGTATTTTTGATCCTTTGGAATCTTTGTCAGGGAAGACTTAGCATCTGTACCTGAAAAGTCTGAGTATTTCTCTTAATCCCCTGCATAGTTACCCTTGTAACTGAAGGTAAATGACTGCCCCTGTAAGAAAGGATCAAGGGACACTTATCAAATATAACTGAGGATATTCCTAAAAGAATCAAGGCTGCCCGTTTCATTTTGAGTACAGATCTGATATGTCTTGGATCTAGATACCAGGTGAAGACCACCTGGCTTACCATGTCAGCCTTCTAGGGTTTGAGATATGAGGTAACAGTAGTCACACAACTCAACTATCTTAATCAGCTCTCTTTTTATCTTGTACCTTGGAACATTATAAATTTAAATTTGTCCCACATGCTTTGGTGCCCAGTGAGTTAGTCATGGAGCTCTGATAGTTAAGTTCCACAACTTGTCCTTCAAGCTTTCTACATCCCAGGTTATGTCCACTGACACCACAGAACCCAGTATTAATGGCAAAATTTTGTATTAATTCTTCTGTCAGTGCCAACTTCTCAAAGTTTCTAATATTCTCTCAACCATTATGTCTGATTACCTTAGTTGTAAGTATTATCTGGATCCTCCCAGGGAAAATTCTAGCTCCTCTAGTTTCAAATGACAAATCCATTCTACTATTCTCACTACCCTGAGCTTTCTGAACCATTCTTCAATATTATGCCAAGTAATTTCTGGTACATCCACGATATCTTCAATACACCACCCTTGAAGTCTGTTAGGACCAACTCCAGACATCTGTGCCAGAGCACTACATCATGTATCATGAGTACATGCTCTCATATCACTATTACCTATCAAGCTTTCTATTCTTCCCTCACCTACTTGTTGATCTAACACCCTCAAAAGCTACTCCCAGACGTATTTCCTGGGTTCTAGCCAATACACTTTGACCACACTCTGCAGTTCATTCAAAGTACAACTTGACCTCCAAAAGATGGAGTATATTTCCCTTTGGAATATGCTGAGACCGGAACCTAGTAGAGAGTTTGGAGTCAATGGGAGTATCAGGGGTGGGTCTTGAGGAGGTCAGGTGTCACTTCACACTGCAACTGTCTTGGATAAAGTCTTTGCAAGATGCCAACACCAAAGCAGGCTGCTCTCCACTTGTACAGTCCTGCATAGTACTGTTTCCACCAGCCTTCGGGAAAACCTAAGGCTTCAGAATTCTCAGGTTTTCCAAAACAAATGTCCCTACCCTGTCATTGAGAGTTCCATTCTTTTCCTGTCAGCATGCTGACTTTGTTGAGGGTGACTACTGAAGCTGTCTGTGTTTTCAATTTCCTTCGCAGCCTTGCTACACTTACTACTAAATGTGGATCTGATCGTCAATACAATCTACTCTGTATTGTCAGATGAAATTTTTCCTTACATCATGCTATTGAAGGACTATGGCTTTCAAAGCATGCCTGGCATTAAGTGGTTAGCATAAGCCTATGTCATTTTTCTTTTTTGATAAGGTTTCCAAAGCAGCTAACTGTAGTTAACCTGTCTTTAAAATTCCTGTTAATCCCATACAACTCCAGTAAGTGGCTACTACATAATCTGACATTCCAGCTTCCACTCACATTTCATTCAAATCCACTGCAGTAAAGTGATCCATCCTGAGTGCTTTACAAGGCCATTCTTGTTACCCTTGCCCAGAGTTTTCCCCCTCATTCAAAAGAAAAGCCAAGACAAATGTCCACGTAAGGGTAATTCATTTGGGAAGTGATCTGAAGGAACCAGAAGTGAGGATGGGGGAGTGAAAAAGGAAAAGCTTATATAAGAATACATGATTGAATTGCCCTCTCCAATGGGCAATTAGTGCTCAACCGCACAGGATTTTTCTGAGGAAGTTTATGAAATACATCTCAGAACTGCCTAGCCAGTCCTGAAGGAAGGGAGAACACTTACGTATTGGCTTCCACATGTTTATTTTTTTTAAATAGCCTGAAAACATTTAAATTATGATAGGCTAAAAATACTGTACATTTAAGGTTTAACTCAAAACAACATCACTTATTAAGAAAGAGAAAAATGTACATATAAAGTGGTAAATCATGAAATCTGTCAAAAATAAAACATAAGGTAATTCCACTTTATTTCAATAAATTATGAAAACATCCCAAAGTACATATTTGCACATTTTAAAAACAGAGAAAATAAACTCTATTATCACATTTAAATAAGCATGAAAAGATATATTTGGATGTCTTTAATTATCCAAGAGACTTCATGAAGGCTTTGGAGTTGATGGTAATGGAGCTTTTCCTTTGTGCTTAGCAGCCTTTTCCATTTTTATCTATAAATACAAAACATTTATTAATACAATAACTTGCAAACCATTCTAAAGAAAAAAATATCACACAGACCTTTTTAGAATTCATGCCTTATTTATCACAGATGTATCATGTAGTTATGAAGCTACTAAATACTAAAGCCAAAATCTGATAATTAAAGGGACATAACTGTGCATTTTTAAATGGTTTGAATTTAACTTCACAGAAACACTTCAATAAAAATAACATACAAATAAATATTGTTTTAGAGAGAATAAACTAAATTGTCCACAAAAAAACATTTTTTAAATGCTTAAAAGTCTAAGCATCCATCCACCCTATGCTTATTCCCTGAAAAGTGCACAATAAACCTAATCCAGCTGTATTATCTTTGGAGTACAGACTGCTTTAACGATGCTTTCTTAGAATTCTGGCTTCTGCATTCCCATTCCTGAAAGTCTTACCTTCCTCGATCATAGTTAAAGCAAAGAAACACACATACCCTAAGCAGCAGCTATCTAACTTTTTAGACACATATAAACATTTTCCATGTTGCTACAGACCCCAGAAAACAGTCTACCTCGTTCTTACTCACTACCCATCATATTTACACACAGTTTCTCCAGGCAGCACCACTGCCTTAATTGAAAAGAAGGAAACAGAAAATAAAGGTGACGGCACATGGAAACAGGGCTTCCTATCTCTCAAGTGGCAGAATAATACCAAAAAGCCATGAAGAACCTGGTAAAATCTGTTTCCCAATGCTATCAAATAGCAAGTAGTAAATTCCCAGTGATAAAAACAAATTAATTTAAACTTCATCTCTTCCCAAGTTTTTCCCCCTCTCTCCTGAGTTGGCTGGCAATCTCATTTAGAAACCATGCTCCCCTAGCACTCTACAGGTCACCTGAAGAATTTTCAAGGAACATTCTAAGGCAAAGATTATTAGTTTGGAAGTCAAATAAAAGAGCATTTGAGGGATTCGGTCAAAATGGCGGTTTGCTAGGGGATCGAGCGAAGAGTCTCTCCGGAGAAATCATACTAGAAGCTAGAATATGACAACATGGAGAGGGCCAGACAAATCGATAGCAATTCTTATTAACCAAGACAGTGCAGCTGGAGGATTTAAAGTCGTGCTGAGACCTGTGAACGCTGATAACGGGAGGCTGCAAATCCCGCGCCTTTAAATCAACAAACTGACCCGTGGACCCAGCAGGAAAAGCTGTGTTGCTTTTGGTGACTGCGGGAAACTGAGACCCGGGACTCCGAGTAGCAGCCAGGACTGCACCGCTGCACCAGAGGAGATCGTACAAGGCTTTGGAGTTCCAAATCTAAACGGTGCGCAGATATCTGACCATTCCGTGCTGTGCTGGGAGCGCACGCTGTGCAACATTTCACGCTATGCCAGGAGTGCGGGAAAGGTGGGCAGCTTGGTGTGCAGTGGACCCGGAATGAGGACCTGCGCCGGACTCTGGTGAGTATTGGGAACCCTGCGGCTGCTGGGGTTGGCCAGAGAACATCTTGGAACTGGACAGTGCCCGCCACCACGGGGAAATCAATAACACAGAGTCTGGCGGCAGACATTTTAGTGTTGGGCAGAAACTACAGCTCGGTGACATCACCAGGTCCCCCTGTAGGGAGGGCTGGTGGAAGACATCTTGAAATCTGGCAGAGCCTGATTACGTGCTGGCTTCAGCTCCATACAGAGAATTTAGTGGGAGACATCTTGGTTTTGGGCAGATCTGCTGTTCTGGTGCTCCTGTCACAGAGAGGTTTGGAAGAGAACAGCTGGGATTTGGGCAGAACCCTGTGCCATAGTGACATTACTCAGCTGCTTCTGGTACAAAGAGAACTGGCAGGAGCTACTGGGGCTAAACCAAGCCTCTGCTTGGGGCCCAATAAGCAGATACAAAATAGTCACAACTCAGTGACATCCAGAAAGTACAGCCTAATTTATGGATTAACTGGCACAGAGGCTAGAGACTAGCCTGTACCGCCCCTGCATCCCAGCCTACCCCAGATAACAGTAAATTGGGGAGGACAGCAAAAACTCAAGTCAGCACGCTTCTGAAAGGCCCTAAGCAATTCGGAGAGGGCCAGAGAACCCCAGGACAGTCTGAAAGAAACCAGAAACATGACAAGAGATAAAAATAAAAAAAATCTCCAGCTGCCCAACAGGAGAAAATAAGCCCAGGAGAAGTAAACACTGAAGAGAACAAGCACAGTAACCATCCATTACTCGACACAGCATCAGCCGAAATTAAAAAGTACCTACATGATCTCATAGAGGAATTTAAAGCTGTACTCCTGATCCAAGTGAGGCAAGATATAAAGAGATTAATTAAAGAAATGACAAGCCCCACCCAAGAGAACACAGATGGAAGAACTGAGGAAATCAGAAAAGAAAGAGAAACTTCTGAAGAAGAATTTAAACATAACTTAGAATACATGAAACAGATCCAAAGAGAATATCAGGAAACTAAAAACTCCATTGAACACTGGCAAAATGCCTTGACAGAAACTAAAGACAGCCTCCTGAAACTTGAAGAGAGATTTAGGGCATATGATCGTGAAAGAAAAAGCCTCTTAAAAATAACAAGGAACCAGAAAGAAGCAATTCAAAAACTGGAGGATGACAAAAAGATACATAACCTAAGAATAAAGAATGTGAGTGAAGAAGCAGGAGCAACCAAAAATGAAATACAAAAAATATTCACAGATATATTAAAGCAAAATTTCCCATGTATAGCAAAAAGAAATGATATCCAGATAAAAGAGGCATACAGAACACCAGCTACCTACAACCAAAACAGATCTACGCCTAGACATATAATAATCAAGATTCCAGAAATCCACCAAAAGAACAGAATATTAAAAGCAGCCAGAGAAAAGATGCAGATTACCTATAACAGGAAAACTATCAAAATAACAGCAGACATCAACACAAAGTCAAGAAGGGAGTGGGGAGAAATATTCCAAGTCCTGAAAGAAAAAAATATGCAACCAAAGTTCATATACCCATCAAAACTCTCTCTAAAAATTAATGAAGAAATAAGATACTTTCAAGACAAGGAGGAACTGTGGGAGTTCGTGGCCACCAATCCAACCCTACAGAGAGCACTGAAGGACATTACAGAGAAAGAGAGGAAGAGATGCCAGGATTCCAGCAACAGTGGCAGAGAGGCCTCAGTGAATGGGGCAGACCACGGAATGAGGGAATAAGGTGGACAAATTATAGCAGAAAAGTGGAGTAGCAGACATGAGGCAGAGACGGTAAGCTATAGTCTTTAGTATAGACAGCTCTGAAACTATATTTTAAAAAAAGCAGAGGTCATTGTTAATGGTATATAACGATTTAAAAGACACGGTAGTCCTAGTGCCATATTTAGTTTGAATTTAATTTGTTCTGGTCTGTCTACTCATGTCAGATTTGAGGGCACAGAACTCTAAAACCAAAAGTAGCAGGTTATACCATGGTAACTATCCTTACTTTCCTATTAACTTAAACTGAAATCCTGTTTTACTTACATTGTCTTACTATGACTGATCTTAATTGAATCTGAATCATAAGACTATTGGTTGGCCTTAGCTGATTTTATTTGAAATTGGTATGCTTGTTAGCATCAACCCTAAAAGTAGAGGCAACTACTCTGAGCATGACAAGTTGTAAAGGATATCCATACTGGTATTAATTAGTAACAGCTCTCAAATCCTACAATGCTGTCAAAGTTAAGTTTTTATAAAAATAGATGATACTATGTTTAACTATAATAAGCCAGTGTTGTGGACAAATCTATTGAAAATAACAAGAGAAAACATAGTAGCTACAGAAGATCATTTATGTTGTAGTCTTATATGTCATATCCATTGCATGTTTTTCTAGGAAGTTGTTTTGCTGTCTTGCTATGACTTGGTTTTCCCTATAATGCAGAAAGGATAGATATATATGTAGAAATTCACACATGGGTTTTTTTTTTAATTATTTACAGGAACAGATTATATAATGCAAGATGTAAGGAACAGATACTCTGAGGAAGAGACGCTGAGAAACCCGAGGCTTATTTTGTAGCATTACAATATAAATTCTAGCAATCTATTGTTCGCTGATTAGAATGACACTGGACTGGTTTCTTGAGTTCAACTTCAGCATATGTAGAGATGGGGATGGCTATCACAAAGAGAATGAGAGATGCGATGGTAGTTACTATTGTCTTCCCTAATTTGGAATTTGAGGACCTAAAAAGACTTCATCATCCTGTAATGATTTGATTAGTTCTATAATATGCAATAAGTATATAAAGTGGGTGAAGATAGGGACAACTATTTGTAAGAAACTAGAGACAGTTAGATAATGAAGATCTCCAGTGGACTTCCTTTGAAATCTGTATTTCTTTAAATTGTTTTTTTTTAAATGTTCTGTTTTGATATGTTTAATCTTACCCTCTTTGAGATGTAAAACAAATGTGTAGGACTGATAATCATATTACTGAGCTTATGTTCAATCATAGAGCAGAATGGTTTGTAGGGTCACTTTTTGAATGTCATTCTAAATACTTTAATTCTATAACCTGAACAGCTATTTCTAAGATGACAATGTGTAACTTATCAACCGGCAATTTCTTACCGTTTGTTTGTCTGTAATTTTGTATTATTTCAACCCTTTTTTTTTAATCTCCATGTATTTTTTTTGTTTCCTTTTCTTTAAATAAAAAAAAGAGCATTTGATTCCTACCTGCTCCATTTAGTAAGATTTTGGAGCAAGTTACTTAGCAACAGTTCTCTCATTTGAAAAAGATACAGTATTAGCTATTCTCAGAGTTGTTTTAAAGGTCTAAGTAAGGACAGACAGACAGACAGGCAAAGACAGAGAGACAGAGGCAACTAGGCACTAAATAAAATGCTGGGCCTTTTTCCTTTAAAGCCAACTGTTACATTTGCAGTAACACTGTAAAAAAAATGTAACAAGAAGCAAATATAAACAAGAGGCAGAAGCAAAAGTATTTGAACTTAACAAATACAACCA